GGAAGACATTGTTTGCATGTTGCAGTTAAAGTAACATTTAGTTTTCCTACAACATTCAAACACTGTCTTCCGAAAACTAACTGTTACTTTTGTCCAAGAGGCATACTTTAGCCCATTAGCTATTAGTGTTATTTAGAAACTGCACAAATTGCATTTTCAAATTTCACATCCAATGTAAAAATGATGCAACTTGCTACTTTAATGTGATGACTAGTCTTGATTTTATTCATTAAGAATAAAACACATTTTCAGGCCCTGACAACTACGAAGATATGTTCCATCGTCAAGTGTTTCAAGCACTGAAACAGTAGTTAAAAAATCATTTGTGTTCAATTACGAGAAAATCTGATCAATTGCTTGGTCGTTTTGTCACTGCAACCTTTCAATTAACTTACTTCGGAAAACAAACACTCCAACTAGCCTTTGTGGTTGCCTGGTAGTGTTGCTTCTCAGCTCAACCCAATAAGCCATGAATGTCACTCTGCCTGTTTAGAATACCTGGTGGGTGAAGGGTATTATCTTTCAAGCTTTATTAGGTACTAAAGGTGTTTTCTTGTCAACACAATGACAGAAAATGTTTTTAAAAAAGGTTGGTGAAGGACCTCTTAGCATTTATTGCATTCCAGATCCACAGAGGAAACTTACAAGGGGCACCTGTCTCATTGGGGTCGAGAGAAATCTCCTTTCAGTGTGGTATTTACAGGCCGATAATAATACCCAACAGAGGCCACCAAAGGTTATCAATTTATCTGTGTTACAAATATTTAATGGACTGAAGACCAAACGACTCGAAAGCAAGAGTTATCTTCTCTTTTCATTTTCAAAGAGAAATATTGCCAAGCCGTGTATGAATTTGACATGGCATTTTGCCATGTTGATAGCAATCACAAACATCTATTGATTGGCCGGTGTATCAACCCGATCAAGTCACAACCTGTCACTTGAGAGATTGTGTCCCTTTCATGGCCGGAATATACATGGGTGAATGACTAGAGGGTATATGGTGGCTGATCTGCTACAGCGATAGGGAATATGGGGCTGTAAGGTCACTGATTGCTGCCTGTGTTTCAGGAACCGTTAATATATTGTGCAAAGGAACAATTAACAATACCTGGTAAATGCCGACTCAGCATTTAGCTTTGTGATTATTTTGGTGATTTAAAGGTCACATGCAACGTAAACACAACTTTGCAGATTCTGATACCTTTCGGTATGGACTTACCGAAACAAATCATCAAATATGCAAATTCAACTTATAAAGTTGAAAAATAACGTGATGAAAAATAACGTGCGAAATCGGAGTTCAAACGATTCACTAATTTTTCCCTAGTGCTTGGGGGGAAAAGTGGTTTCAGCAGCTGGGCTGCACTCATAGCACATGCGCAGTGAAATAGGTTTCGCGCAGCTTGTAAGCAGGTTGTCCGGTGAATACTCGGTGAAGGCTTTGGTGTGAGCAGGGAGACTATATAAGGGGTGTTGTAGAGTATCCCTGGTGTGAGCTATTTTTCTAATGTTTTGTTAATATTTCACAGGCGCGAGCTTTTTTATATGTTATGGCAGTAGATTGCCGATTTAACTGTTTATATAATTTCATTTGTCTATTTCACCACACGTTCTTCTTACCGAGTCACTTTCTCAGTTTGATACTTAAAAGCAACGTCATTATTTAGCGTCGACACAATTTCTAACTGTGATATAGATATGTCGTTGTCACGGACTCAATGACTGTTTTATTGACACCTATGTGTCTGCCTGCCTGTCTGCTAATGACAATATTCAATACACAACTTCGATCACTGACCACATGCAATTTGAACTTAACACCTATCAGGCTATACAACATAAACAAAACGCATTGATTTATGGCTCGAGTTCGGTCTCTGTCACATTATATAATTACACAGACAGGCAGGTGTGATACTTGTACACATGACATGTTATGATGTCTGTTGATTGCAAAATGTTATACACAAAAAATGATCATGTATTTACAAAACCCAACATCTCTTTATATACACACACAATGAGCCGTGAGGGCACCTGCAAATGAACCAGCCGTTACACTTGAGTGCACACCCACCCGCTCTGACTGGGTTCGGTATCCCGTCTGCTTCGTTTCGAGGGAAGTAAACCCAAGAACAAAATATTGCACTTTTGATTAGCGATTGTACGCTTATAAATTTGTTTATTTGTTTTTTCATAACCAGTAATGTATATTATATGTCATGAATAAGTGATAATTGTGTTTTAATTATGTTTGATTTTTTGGTTGCATGTGACCTTTAACAACTAAGTACTCATGTACCTAGCCATGCTTGCACTACATGTGGTATTTTGGGATTCAGCAGTCAAACATAGACTACCTATGACCCTGTGTGATGTATGTTTGTTGATTATCCACAATGCCCATTAGTCGCCTCATGCCACATGCATGGGTTGCTGAGAAGCATCTAACCCACGTCTTCACATGTATAGCAGGTGGTGATATGTATAGATATCCCTGCTTAAGTATAATTATAATGGTGAAAAGTCAATTTATTACAAATAATCAAAAGTGAAATAGTTGATGGAAAATAAAGTAAATCATAGCCAGGGATCACATTGACAATTAATTGATCTGATTAATTCTAATTAATCAAACAAGACTCAGCATGAGATAAGATTAGATTAGAGTTAGACACAAATAATAAGCTAGAGGAACTGATTCATCATCTGTGGACTAGTTAAATATAAAACCGATTGTGCATACTTCTGGAGATATAATGTTTTAGATATCTATTTTAATTTCTTTTAAAAATATAATAAGTAATAAAATTAATACAAGAATTAGTAAACATATTCAAACTCACCAACAAGCATGATGCTGTGTACCTTATTATCCCCCGCAACGCGTTTTCCGGGGGGTATTAAAATGGACTCCGTCCGTGCATCCATCCGTCCGTCTGTCCGTCCGTGCACATGTCTTTTCCGGAGCAGAACTCGAAAACCGTTCAATATTTCTTCACCAAACTTGGCACATACATGGATCTGGTGGTGTACTGGTGCCTTTTGGTAGTTTTGGAATTCTGAATTAAATATTTTTGGCGTTTCCATGGCAACAAGTTTGACTTAGCCTGAAATTGGTGGTAGTGCTCTTTTCCGGAGCAGAACTCTAAAACTGTTCACTATTTCTTCACCAAACTTGGCACATAGATAGATCTGGTGGTGTACTTGTGCCTTTTGGTAGTTTTGGCATTCTGAATAAAATATTTTTGGCGTTTCCATGGCAACAAGTTTGACTTAGCCTGAAATTGGTGGTTGTGCTCTTTTCCGGAGCAGAACTCTAAAACTGTTCACTATTTCTTCACCAAACTTGGCACATAGATAGATCTGGTGGTGTACTTGTGCCTTTTGGTAGTTTTGGAATTCTGAATAAAATATTTTTGGCATTTCCATGGCAACAAGTTTGACTTAGCCTGAAATTGGTGATAGTGCTGCTTTCTGGAGCAGAACTTTAAATACCTTTCAATACTCTCCTTCCACTTTTCTATATACACACCTAAATATTTGACATAATCATAACTCATAGACATAATCATGAAGAGTATTTTGCCTTTGAGGGGGATATTGATGACTTTGTCTTCTTGTATATATTATTCCTGAAATGTGTAAACTTTCAAAATTCACTTTACCAAATAGTAATTTCACTTGACAACAATTAACAATTTGGTTTCTTTTGCAAATAATCTTATCAATTGGTAGCAGCTGCATTTTTATTTCATCATCAAAATACATACATCAAAACATTTCAGTAGTTTGGCACTACTGTACCACAGTAAAGTTTAATGTGGATATTTACTTGACCGACCGGAGAAGTCCGCTCGACCTGAGCATCAGGCAGTGGTATTTTTCAACCCCTGAATATTCTCGATTTACGTTTTAGGTTTGACTTTGGAATATGCACATTACATGTATGTCTACTGATCAGGTTTTCTGTGTCCTGATATTTTGCGAACCAAACTGTTTAGTGTAAGTTAGTGTCATCCAGCATTGACAATGTTGATAGGTGTTCATGCTGTCAATCATTGGGTGTCTGTGTCTGTTACAGAATTGTGTTACATGGCCGGGATGTTGCTGACTGTGGCATAAAACATCATTCAGTCAGTCAGTCATTTCTGGTGTCATATATACATATTAGACATATTGTCTGGATATTGCCCTGATTCTCATATTGCAATACATATTGTGATATATTGACTGGAAGGTTTCTGCCCAAGTGTGTACATCATTAATTAATAATAGCTCTGTGTGTGACATTGTCTTCTTAGTTACTGTTACACCATACTTTCTGTATGTCAGTGGTTTACAGATAAATGAAATGATACAGAGCCTTAATGTAGAATGTTTAATTGAAGTACTGTATTGCAAGTTTTGCGAACATAATGATAAATTTAATAGTATAACATGATTTACATTATCAGCGTTGTTTTCTTCAACAGAATGCACTTCTAAGCAGTATGTAATGATTGTTACTGTATGTCAGTGATTCATTCAGATTCAACTCCAATATAAACATGCGTTAACATGAGCTATTGCAAAATGAAAACAAAAACATGATTTAGGTGAACTACTTGAGCTTAAAATATCATGTGACATTCAATATATTAGTAAGATTCTTGACTAGAATGTCATTATACAGTCCTGCAAAATTTGGCCTTTATGATAAATTCATAACATATGTCCTATTATATAACAAACAAAACAGTCACTCTGAGCCAGGGGTTCTGATAATAAGTCCAAATAAAAGATTGGTCAAATCTTATGAGGGCATTTTGAAGTGAAATGCATACCCGGTAAGTAAAAGCAAGATTTATTCACCTTCTTTTTTCTGAATAGCACGAAGTTTCGGAGTGTATGCTTGCTTTTATCAATATTGACATGAATAATTTATCAATATTGTGATATAAGATGACATAGAAATGGTGATAGACATGATCTGATCTGAGACATGTTGTTTACAGTGAGCGTCTGCCGGGTGATGGTGAAGCAAGCTACGATGATGACCTTGATGAAGAAGACGATGGCATTGATGGTCTTGATGATGACTGCGTGGGTTCTGACATTGAAGGTCGGTTGACAGACATACCAGATTGGTTTATCTTGTTGTTAGGTATTCTCCTCACCCCCAAACACCCCCTTTTTCCACACATCACACCCACACCCACAATCACTCCCTCGCTTCCATACATCACGCCCACAACCACACGCACCTCCCTCAACACCCCTCATCTAACACCCCTACCACCCACCCTCATCTCTCTCACTAACTCATTAACTAAATCTTGTCCCGTTTCAGCGGAATCCGACGGCTTCTCGGTTGCCAGCAGTCTATCCAGACATTCAACTCGCAGTTTGCGTTCCACAAAACGTCCTACAACAAGCCTCACCTCCAACAGGCCGGTGCCTGTGTCTGAGGAACGACAGAAGACATTCCTCCGTCCCGTCACAGCCTCAACCAGTGACCGGGATTCCCAAACCAAGCCTGCTCTTCGTCCGTCCCTCTTCCCCAACATCCCTCCAACCATCAACTTTGTGTCTGAAGGAGAGAAAGGTATAAAGTTTAATTAGATACACACACTTTATGATTCTTTCATTTCAAGGAGGGCGGTGGGGTAACCTAGTGGTTAAAGTGTTGGCTCATCACACCGAAGACCCGGATTCGAATCCCCACATGGGTACAATGTGTGAAGCCCATTTCTGGTGTCCCCTGCCGTGATGTTGCTGGAATATTGCTAAAAGCGGCGTAAAACCAAACTCAGTCAGTCAGTCAGTCAATCATTTCAAGGGTGGTGGGGTAACCCAGTGGTTAAAGTGTTCGCTCGTCACGCTGAAGACCCAGGTTTGATTCCCCACATGGGTACAATGTGTTAAGCCCATTTCTGGTATTGCCGCCGTGATATTGAGGAATATTGCTGAAAGTGACGTAAAACCATACTCACTCATTTCATTTCCAATGTCAAATATGTGAAACCATTTCATTTTGCTGGATTATTGCTAAAGATAAACTGGAGATTATCAGATATGCTTGACTCATGTTCAATCTCAGTTTTGTAACTGCTGCAGACAAATATGGAGGGTTTTGTTTGAAATAATGAATACTGCAACATTCATGTTTCAGTTGAGCTGCTGCCCTGGGATATCAGGAAGCTGCTGAAATGGCGCATGAGTCCGATAACACCAAATATTGTCAAGTCAGCGCTTGCCAGGATTGGCTTTCGAGTAACAAAAAGTAAGATCATCTGGAAGACAGCTTGCAGCATACAGTAGAATTCAGTCTCTCATGTCTCCAGTAAAACCAGACTGGAGTTACTCTGAGCAGGACAGCAAAATCAAGTCTGTGCGAGTGAAAGCAATCTTCTCATAGTCCCAACATTCAGACTGAAACCTTTTAACTATGAAATGTTATCTCATGTTATAAGAGTTTTTTGGATGTTCCTTTTCAGCTGAAGCTATGTCCAATTTTTTGTAATTTTAAAGCTTATCTCAAACTTCTTTCCGCGCTGCTACAGCAGGGTTTATGATGTCTTTCCCCCTTTCATTTGTATTTGTTCCCCGCCACAACGCGGAATGGGGGACTATATATTCAGCGGCGTCCGTACGTACGTCCCGATTCTTGTTAACGCGATATCTCAGGAACTGTTGTATCCAATGTCTTCAAATTTGGTGACAGCGTTACCCAGACACCAGTTGATTTTGGTGACCTTGACCTTATTGTCAAGGTCACCACGACACTTTGACCACTTTTCAAACTCTTGTTAATGCGATATCTCATGAACTGTTGTACCCAATGTCTTCAACTTTGGTGACAGACTACCTACGGGGATTACCCAGACAGCAGTCGATTTTGGTGACCGTGACTTTATTTTACAAGATCACCACAACACTTTGACCACTTTTGAAACTCTTGTTAACGCGATACCTTGTGAACTGTTGTACCCATTGTCTTCAAATTTGGTGGCAGCCTACATTGGGGGATTACCCAGACAGCAGTCGATTGTGGTGACCTTGACCTTATTTTCAAGGTCACCACAACAATTTGACCACTTTTCAAACAGTTGTTAATGCAATATCTCATGAACTGTTATACCCAATGCCTTCAAATTTGGTGACAGCCTACATTGGGGGATCATGCAGGCACCAGTTGATCTGGGTGACCTTGACCTTATCGTCAATGTCACCATGACACTTTGACCACTTTTCAAGCTCTTGTTAACGCGATATCTAATAAAACATTGCACCCAATGTCTTCAATTATGTCGACAGCCTACATTGGGTGATTATGCAGATATCAGTCATTTCAGGCATCTTGCATGTGACCAAAAAATATAAAGTAGTAAATGTGTTATAAATATTCCATTCTTTAGCGGCAGGGGACGGGGGTGGAAATAACTTTAAAATTGCTAGTGTACTCCGGTACAGTGGCACATGTGAAATCACTTGCCCTGATAATTTTTCCTCTATACCGGCCATTTTCTTGTTGATTTTTTAAATAAACACCATTATTAACATTGGAAAGTCAACTGGACGCTGGTACAGTTTGATATACGAATTTGCTTGCCCAACAGAAAAAAACACTGGACTCGGACGTCGGGCAATGGGTTATTTCCACTCCTGCGAGGACATTGCCATATCAGTGGCAAACACTTGTTGTTTTTGTTTTTATATGCAATTTCACTGCATGATTTTATGTTAATTAGGTGAAGTACATTGTTATCATAGTTGTTTATATTTATTATCAAACTTTAAACATTCTAGAGATCCTTGCTCACCGTAGATTTGAAGACATGAGGTTCAACCATAAGGTACCCCAGGACAGCACTTAGTTTCCACCACAGATAGTTTTCATGGCCTTTCATGTTTGCTGCTCTTGTATTTGGTCATTACATTCAGATTTGAGAAATGAATCAAGTCTAAAGATAATGTTTCTGTTTCAGAAAACCATGACTGGTTGGGATGTTTTGGGAAACACATGAAATCTCAGGGATTCAAAGCCATTCGAGAATATCAGAAGGTAAGTCCAGGATTTTGTTGCAGCTGGGATTCTTTCTTCTCTTTTGTCTATGGCTGCCACCTGATCTAACGCTTGATGGATATGTAGAGATTATTACAGAAGTTTTTTATGTCACACTGATTCTAGAAATTAATCATTAAGTGTTTTGTACTTGAAATCTGACACTTGTTTCCTTATCTGTGTCATAGGTAGGGGCGACTAGGGTGATATAGTCGATGCCTCGTCTGTCGTTCCGTCCGTAATTTTGTTTCACGAGCATAACTCAAAATCCGTTCAATATTTTTCAACAAAAAATATTATTTTTCCTTATCCTGACTCATGCTAATTATGCTTGTCTCCTTCGTCTTGCGAATGATAGTGGAACACTTGAAATCCCTTGAAGTTCCCTTCTAAAAAAGCGGACGTAAAATCACTCACCCACGAGTAACGTCCCTTTCCTCCCTTTTGGCACCCAAATGGTCACATGATCGGCCATATTTGTCACTCTCTCCGTATGTAAGCCCGACACCCGGATTTACAGGGAAATCCAGAGTGCCATAAGAGGGGAGGTTGGGAGGGCTAACCTCATGAGTCAGGATAAGTATAAAATATAAATTTTAGTCAGAAAATTACATTTTCTTGTTTTCCATGGAATCGTTTTGGACCTAGTCTCAAAAGTGAGGGGTGGGCTCCGCGAAGCACAACTTGAAAACCGTTCAATATCTTTCTACCAGACCTGGCAGATATATCTAACAGATCTTGCAGTGGTTCCTTTTGCTATTTGCAGATTTTTGGCATTTATATTTTTCAGGATTTCCATGGAAACGATTTGGACGTAGTCTAAAAAAATCAAGTTGGACTTTAAGTAACTGTCAGATGATTTGTTCTTTCAAATTTGTGGGGGCCGGGGGGATTTGTCATCTTGTGATGAATCTTCTTTACAAGTCTCTTTGTTACCAATTGTGTAGCTTGGATCCCTGTGTTAACCTGAGACTCCCACAATGAAAAGCTTTGAGTCTAGTAAGCCCCCAGTATATACAACCTAGGTAAATACTTGATGACGAATCTTTCCAGTTGAACCATTTCCCCGGGTCTTTCCAAATCGCCGCAAGGACCGACTATGGCGGAATCTCTCCAAGATGCAGGTGCATTTCGGCAAGAGGGAGTTCGGCTTCTTCCCACAAACCTACGTGCTGCCACAGGATCTGAAGCTACTGAAGAGGGCATGGGAGGATGGGGGAAGCAAACAGAAGTGGATCATCAAGCCGGTAGGTTGCCACGACAACACAGTATGGAAACAGGGCATGGCTAGCATAAGGTTGCCTTCATTGTAATACTTCATTCTCTTATTTAGCCATGATGATCATTGCGAGCTTAAATTGATGATATTTCAAACATTATGGTTTTGTGTTCCCAGCCTGCATCAGCTCGTGGTATTGGCATCAAGGTGATCCACAAGTGGACACAGATTCCCAGGCGCCGGCCGGTGATAGTACAGAGGTGAGACACGTACACCATTATTGTATGGAGGCTAGAGTTCCCGCACATGTCCTACCTTCATTACGTTACTGTCTTTAATCATTTGTTTTGGTGTCGTTACTTGCACAACCAGGAAAGAAATGAGGTTTCCTTTTTGACATCAACATACTATTTCTTGCACAACTGATTATGGATCATTGACAATGAAGAGGGCTATTGTTGAAAATCGGAAGATTTCATAATGTAATGACAGCCATAATGTAGGATTTGTAGCAGTGATGTAATGAAGGTAGTATTCTTACATTTATGTAACCGTGATACCTGTTATTTTATTTCTGTGCACTACTTCAAAACTTGTTATCAATTGCTATTTAGTATTAAAGTCGGAGAAGGATTATTTGAAATGGAATATAATCCAGGGTGCAACTTTACCTGAGATGTCTGCAAGGTTGTACAGTGATATGACAGGGATAACCCATAATAAGCCTGAACTTTTGTCTTGAACATAGCTGAGACTGACTTGACATAGCTCAGACTGACCGGCACGCAGTGCCAAGGTGCATCCCTGTGTTTGTATGATAACAGATCACCAATAGTATACTGTTTCAAAAAGAAAATGTTTTTTGTTTCAGTTGACTCAAATTGTGAAAAAGCAAATCTGATGATGTCATTGATAAATCACCTGTTGTTTTTGTTTTATTTTGACAAGGGTATTTTCAAGTGATTCTGCTTGCTGTATTGCTGAATGTCATGTAGGGATACTAGGCTAGAAATGTTGCCAGACTCTAATGAAGGTTCAATTTAATGGATTGGATGTACAGCAGTGGTGTTCCGATTAATTGAAATAATTGAAGATTGGTCGCAGTGACTAAACGACCAAGCAATCGATCACATTTTCTCATAATCGAACATAAACGATTTTGGAACTACTGTTTTAGTCCTTGAAATACTTGACAATGGAACATATCGTTGAAGTGTCAGGGCCTGAAAACGTGTTTAATTCTTAGAAAACTCACTTCACTAACTGAAAAGTCATAACTGAATATTTCTTGAAGACTCCAGGAAGTTTATGTTCATGATATATTAGTCATCACTTTTAAGTAGCAAGTTGCATCATGTTATACATATCTGCAATAACAACCTGGATAGGAAAATCTGAAAAATGACGCTAACCAATTTTTTTCGATGATGGTTCATTGGCAATGAATCAATCATCAATTGTGAGATTTCAACCAACACTAGTGTACAGGATTGGTGAATAGGTGGATTACAAGGCATCTTATGTCGACAAACTTCATGTTTATACACCATGTTGCCGTCATCTAACAGGATTATTGCTGACTGTGTTAATGTATGGATGACTGGCATTGTGTCTGTGTCAGCCAGGCTTGCATTAAGTAGCCCCGTGTTGTTCCAGATATTTGGGAAGACCGTACTGATTAACGACAGCAAGTTTGACATGCGGGTGTACGTGTACGTCAGCTGCTACGATCCTCTCAGAATCTACATATTTGAAGATGGCCTGGCACGATTCGCGTCTTGCAAGTGAGTAACCTGAAACATGTTTTTGGTATATCAGGTACCATAAGCATTAAATAATGCCAAATTTGCAGTTATCCTCCCTCGATTTATGATTTTTGTAAATGTTTAACAAATTATTTAATGCATAGAAGTAATGGTCAGAAAAGTGCTAACCAATGTGCTATTGAATATATTGTATTCTCTCGTATCCAATCTGTTGGGTGTCTTTAAACATGGAGTAAACGTTTTACCAAAGCTTTGATGCTAAGGCTTGTGAAAATAGTTCCCCACAGCTGCCAATGTTAAACCTGACTCAAATGTATTTGTTGTTTTTAAGCACCTTTTTATGACTCATGTTTTGTACACACTGTGCTGTTAGGTTGCCACCATGACCAAACTTCCTCACTCACTGATACTTGCAGGTACTCATCCTCCATGAAGTCGCTTAGCAACAAGTTCATGCATCTAACCAACTACAGCGTCAACAAGAAGAATACGGAATACGTCAGCAATGCTGATGACTCGGTGTGCCAGGGCCACAAGTGGTGAGTTGTCAGTGGTTGAACAAACGTCACAACTTTCCCACATACTTTCCCTTGTATTGAGTGTTTCCAAGTCATCAGTCCTAAACCGAACTGAAGCTCCTGAAGCCCATGTTGTGTCTCCTCGGGCAGAAGTTCCTCTGCTCACTCAACAGTGAAGATCTGGGTTATATTAGTCTTCAGTAACCCATGCTTATCGTAAGAGGCGACTAACACAGGGGTGGAAATAACCCATTGCCCGACGCCCGAGTCCAGTGTTTTTTTCTGTCGGGCAAGCAGTTTTGTATATCACACTGTACCGGTGTCCAGTTGACTTTCCAATGTTAATTATGTTGTTTATTTAAAAAATCAACAAGAAAATGGACGGTATAGTGGAAAAATTATCAGGGCAAGTGATTGTACATGTGCCACTGTACCGGAGTACACTAGCAATTTTAAAGTTATGGGTTGGTACAATGCTCACAATATCACTCACTGGATTTCCATACTTAGTTCTTTAAGGACAGCTGCCATGCTGCATGAATAATGTAGTTTGGCATTATACTTGAGATAAATATATGAGAAAACATAGACACTTGTTTCCTGGTGTGTGATGTTGCAGGAGTCTGAAGGCGCTGTGGAACTTCATGAAGAGACAGGGAATCAACACGGTGGCTATCTGGGACAGCATCAAGGACCTGGTGGTCAAGACCATCATTAGGTGAGCTATAACACAAACCTGTTACCTACCTCACTCACTCACTCACTCGGCCCATGGGTTTTGCATCTTTCATTCCTTCATTAAGGCAACTAAGATGAGGTCAATATAATTAATTGTCCAGTCAAGTTGAAACGTGTGAGATATGTGATGGGCATGGCTGTTGGCATGTCTCCATGCCCTGATGGCATGAAATGATGAAGTTAGTAACCGATGTCAAACACATAACTATTTCTGTGTTCAATATGAAGCACAACTTTCATAGGCTTCTTTGTTAAATGTTGAAGATATATGTAGTAATGAAAAAAACAACTTATTTTGGGTGTACAATTTAACTCAAGTAGCCCCACCCTCACTGTGAAGGTGTTGTATGTTGTGCTCAGTCAGGGCTCCATTCCAGAGTGAGTTTTACATGTCAAGTACTGTCTTCTACTGTGAAGGTGTTGTATCTTGTGCTCAGTCAGGGCTCCATTCCAGAGTGAGTTTTACATGTCAACTACTGCCTTCTACATGTTGAAGTATGGGAGTTACAATCATCTAAGTATAAGATTGCTTTGTGTCTCTGAGAAGTGTTTCCAGCAGGCAAATTAGCTAGGATAACCATGGTTTGATTGTAATCAACTCAGTCTATATCTGTAGCTTGAGTGTAATGAAGTCAATCGTTATGTTCCAATGCTCTATCTTGTTCCTGTAGCTCTGAAGCTCCTATCAACAGCATGATCAAGTCAAACGTGCGGAGTCGATACTGTGTCCATGAGCTGTTTGGTTTTGACATTCTGCTTGATGATCATCTCAAACCGTGGATCCTGGAGGTCAACATCTCCCCCAGGTGAGGCTGATAGAGTTGCATGGAGGGCAGGGTAGGGTACAAGCTCATCCACTTGTTGCTACACACAACCTCTTTCTGTTACCGTTTCCTCAGTATAATTCAGAAACATCTCGAGATACCTCCATGATGGTGGTGGTGGAATTGGGTTTAACGTCGTGCTTGAGAATATTTCGCTCATATGACGACGTGCATGCGTCGGTGTATGTGTATGTGTGGCTGCTTGTACTAGCCCAGACTGAAGCTGGTTTTATAGTGCTAGCCCACTGAGATACCATGCCGCACTGAAGCATGAATACCCCACACAGACACATTATACTGACTCCGAGCCGACCAGTCCTTGTTGTACCCATTAATGCCGAGTGCCAGGCAGGGACCAACAAGTACCATATTTTAACGTCTTTTGGTATGACGCGGTCTGGTATCGAACCCGCGACCTTCCGCACTCCGGGCGGGCGCTCTAACCACTACACCACGTAGGCGGTCTACCTCCATGAAACATTAACCAAATTGTCTAGATTGCCTATTGGTGTTTCTGCCCTATGGAGATTTTGGGTTATTTTGGGCCCAAGCAGCTTCTGTTGGTTGTAAGAGGTGACCAAAGAGATCAGGCCCCCGATATCTCGAAACAAACTAAAGTCTAAGTTTTGACTGAAGTTTGAGTTTTTCACAGGAAAACGCATTTCCATGAATGAACTGAAATTGATATTAAACTCAAACATAGTAGACAATTTGAGTTTGTTGGATAGATTAGTTAAGTTGTTTGAGCTTTTATATTTTGAGAAAAACAATTGAGTTAAAAACTTAGTTGTTTCGAGAAATCAGTTCCGGGTGGAACAGTTTCCATTATTGCTTTAATATTGATCACGGAATTATTTGGTCCCATCATCTACTTCTGGTAAATGTTGAAGCAGTCATGCCATGAAAAGACCAAAGACCATATAATAGATTGTCGCTGAGAAAACTAATTTCAATGAGTTGTGAATCCCTGACTAATGATATTTTTCTTTCTCCGTTCCAACCAGCCTGCACTCCAACTCCCAGCTGGACGTGAACATCAAGGGGCAGATGATCAAGGACTTGATGAACATCGCAGGGTTCCGCGTCCCCGACAAGGTGGACATCACACACAGCAGCTCCAGCGCTTCCTGCGACTTGAGGTGAGAGCACCACTCTGTAGCTAACACACGTTTGGGAAGGACTTTAGTGTTTCTTGGTTGTTCAAATTTCAGAAAACGACGGAGAAAAAATTATTCTAGTGTAAAAGTATTAGCTCACCACACAGTGATCTTTACCCAATGACAATGTTCAAATATTGGATGTACAATTGTCTTAACACAAGGATTACTTTGTGTAAAGGGGCCCTGCATTTTTAAATGATAATTTAAGAAATGTATGTATGCATCTAGCTTCATGTGTTTCCTGTTTGACACAAATAGGAGATAGACAACATTTGTCTTAAAAGCTTGTATTTTTCATTATCCTGACTCATGCTAATTATGCTTGTCTCCTTCCTCTTGCGAATGATATGGGAATACTTGAAATCCCTTGAAATTCCCTTTAAAAAAGCGGACGTAAAATCACTCACGCAAGAGTAGCATCCCTTTCGAGCCCAAATGGTCACATGATCGGCCATATTTGTCACTCTCTCAACACCCAGTTATTCAGATAAATATAGACCCAAGCTTGTGATGACATCCCCATTTCACCACAGATTATGCAGTAGTCAAATGTGGAGTAAAAAGATGACACTTATCACATTCCAAATAATGAGCAGTAAATAGTCCATGGACGTTTTGTGTTCCATTAAATCAACAGATTGCAGCACACACTCCCATCCAGTTTAGAGGGGTATTAAGGGTCCATCCTATTGTTTATGTGTCTGTCTTGGTTTGTTCCAGTGCCCATGTCCCGTCCAGCGACTACTGCATGGACAAGAGGCTGTATTCCCAGCAGTTTGCCCCTGACGAGCGCACCAAACATGCCTACTATTGCCAGAGACACCAGGACGAGGTAGGCTCACCCAGTCATCTACACACTTCTTGATTCCAAGATCACAAGACCCGTGAAGATCCGGGTTAGGATTGATCTTCAGTAACACATGCTTGTTGTAAGAGGCGACTAACGGGATCGGGTGGTCAGACTCTCTGACTTGGTTGACACATGTCACTGGTTCCCAATTGTGGAGGTCGATGCTCATGCTGTTGATCACTGGATTGTCTGGTCCAGACCCAATTATTTACAGACCGCCACATTATAGCTGGAATATTGCTGAGTGCGGCGTAAAACTCAACTCACTCCAAAATCACAAACATTTTCACACCTATCACTGTGGTGACCAATTACCCTTTGTGTTTCGTAAGTGTGACAGTGGGGTCAACTACAACACTACCATTGTTATAACTCTAATACCCCAAGATAGATTAATGGTGATTAAGACCTATATTCACTTTGTAAAATTGGACTTAAGACTCAACATTCAAGGATCATTCAATCCTGTTTCCAGCAAGTGATGCAGACTATCATGGACACCCTGACGCCCAATGATGTAAGAACACTGACGGAATGTATCGACGAGGACAGTAGAAAGGGGGGCTACCAGCGGATCTTCCCCACGCCTTCCACCCACAAGTACCTGCGGCTGTTTGAGCAGCCTCGCTACAACAACATCCTGCTGGACCAGTGGGTTCAGAGGTTCAACCGCATGGAGCAGAGAGGTCAGTTTCACCCACGCTTGTTTTCCTCTGATAATCTGGATTAGAATTAGTCTTCAGCACCCCACGCTTGTTTCCCTCTGATAACCTAGGTTAGATTTAGTCTTCAGCACCCCACGCTTGTTTCCCTCTGATAACCTAGGTTAGATTTAGTCTTCAGCAAGCCACGCTTGTTTCCCCGTAATAATCTTGGTTAGAATTAGTCTTCAGCAACCCACGCTTGTTTCCCAGGGATAACCTAGGTTAGATTTAGTCTTCAGCAAGCCACGCTTGTTTCCCCGTAATAATCTTGGTTAGATTTAGTCTTCAGCAACCCACGCTTGTTTCCCTGGGATAACCTAGGTTAGAATTAGTCTTCAGCGACCCACGCTTGTTTCCCAGGGATAACCTAGGTTAGAATTAGTCTTCAGCGACCCACGCTTGTTTCCCTGGGATAATCTGGGTTAGAATTAGTCTTCAGCAACCCACGCTTGTTTCCCTCTGATAACCTAGGTTAGATTTAGTCTTCAGCACCCCACGCTTGTTTCCCAGGGATAACCTAGGTTAGATTTAGTCTTCAGCAAGCCACGCTTGTTTCCCCGTAATAATCTGGGTTAGAATTAGTCTTCAGCAACTCATGCTTGTTTCCCTCTGATAACCTAGGTTAGATTTAGTCTTCAGCAAGCCACGCTTGTTTCCCCGTAATAATCTTGGTTAGATTTAGTCTTCAGCACCCCACGCTTGTTTCCCTGGGATAATCTGGGTTAGATTTAGTCTTCAGCAACCCATGCTTTTTTCCCTCTGATAACCTAGGTTAGATTTAGTCTTCAGCAAGCCACGCTTGTTTCCCCGTAATAATCTTGGTTAGATTTAGTCTTCAGCAACCCACGCTTGTTTCCCCGTAATAATCTGGGTTAGATTTAGTCTTCAGCACCCCACGCTTGTTTCCCTGGGATAATCTAGGTTAGAATTAGTCTTCAGCACCCCACGCTTGTTTCCCTGGGATAATCTGGGTTAGATTTAGTCTTCAGCAACCCATGCTTGTTTCCCTCTGATAACCTAGGTTAGATTTAGTCTTCAGCAAGCCACGCTTGTTTCCCCGTAATATTCTGGGTTAGATTTAGTCTTCAGCAAACCATGCTTCTCGTAAAAAGCAACTCACCAGATTGAATCATCAACCTCACTAATTTGTTCACATGTCACCTGATCTTATTGGGTAGACATATGCTCATGATATCAGTCACTGAATGATGGTGTCCAGACTCAGCTGGGGGTTGCTGAGTGGTGTTGAGTGACGATCTAACAAACTGTCTGATGTTATGTTATGTTATCTAATGATGTATCTCCCGTTCTTCCGCTATGACCATATCTCTCCTGTGCTTCAGTCACTTTACTGGCTTCCCATCTCTGCAAGAATCACCTTCAAACTCCTCACCCTCACTCACGACTGTCTCAACAATAAAAACTTTCCATCTTATCTCAAAGAACTTATCTCCCCTTACTCACCTCAGCGGAATCTCAGATCCTCCAGTGACTCTCTTGACTCAACCAAAATCACTAAATGGACTTTTCGAACGCGCCTTCTCTTTTGTCAGCCCACAACTCTGGAATTCGCTTCCCCAAAACCTCAGAAATACAACCACTAAAGACTCTTTAAATCACAGCTTAAGACTCACCTATTTCTCTTACTTGTGTTGCAGGTATTGCCATGTTGCAGGCTGTGTTAACCCCTCACTTACTTGTGTTGCAGGTATTGCCATGTTGCAGGCGTTCTGTGAGGAAGGGCTCCATCAAGAGAACCCAACGGACAGTCCCAGCCACCAGGTGGAGTAGTAAACACTTACCATATCTACCAGGAATGGATTCTTTTTCAGAAGAAGTCCTCCTTGGGGTACATATAAGCATTAAAATGTCCATTTTAAAAGCCTACGACAGTTGTAACAATATTTCAATAAAATATTTTACCAAACAAAAAACTCGTTATGTGTGGTGAGACCACCCCTACAGGGCCCCGTAGAGGGCCCCCTACAGCCAAGAGCAGGTAACTCTGGCTGTGTACCTCGTACCTCACTTTTCATGCTGTCGTCGGTCGTGTAGGTCGATTGCATGGTCCAAGAAGCTACGAATAAGAGAGCGATGAGTGAGATAGAGTCAAATCCTGTATGTATGGTTCCTTTTTTTCGCTCGGGCGCTAGCTGGAATCTTTGTATGACTTTTTTCATTCATGATTTGTTGTAACTTTACCGGCGTGTTCGCTGTCTCCAGCCACGTGGCAGGCAAGATGGCGGACCGCGGGGTCCCGTTTGCTTTCCTTCTCCTGGCTTTAGAAAAAGCCTTGTAGTCGGGTTGTGAAAGGGCTGATATTTCATTTTGTAGATTATACTTGCCTAAATTCCTTTTTTTTCCAGGCTTTAGGTAAGTTTTGCTTGAGTGTTTTCGTGACGCAACACATGTTGCTCTTTGTCACCTATGTACGCAATTACGCTTCGCAATTATGGCTTTACGCTAGTATTTAATAGCTTTGCTGTAACAGTTAAAATATCGCCCGGGCGTTGTATTTTGTTCTGTTTTGTTGTGTGCATATTATATTATGTATATCGTACAGTCCTTGCTATTATCATAGCGTGGTTCTGTTTTTTGCAGCCCAAGGGGGTGTGTCACCTGTAGCGGCAGTTTGTCGCCTCAGGATCGCCACCTGGTTTGCTTACGTTGTTTAGCGGAGGAAGCCCATGACGAACAAGGTTGTTCTATGTGTCAGGCTTTCTCCCCCCGTACCATCAAGTCCAGACGTGCTGATTACATGTTCTACACGTCCTTACTTCGGGCGGGGACATTTGGGGTCAGGAGCCGCCTAAAGACAAAGATAAAAAAACAAAGAAAAAGAAGGCTTCGGCTTCCTCTCTTTCGGGGGATGCTCCTAAACGGGCGAAGGGCACGGGGCCTCCGGCTCCTTCACCTGCCATCCCCTCAACATCACAGGCACCTTCCCCCCCTCCTGTCCCTGTTTCTAACCAGCTAACAATTGATTTACTTTCTGATATATTGCAGAAGCAGATGGATTCGGTCCACACTCTCGTGGCTGACGCGATGGCTGGCCTCCGTCAGGAGATTGGCGTCCGACCAGGTACGGGTGTGTGTGCCGGGTCTATGGCGGGCAGTGCTCCCAACCTCAGCTTAGGCTCTGGTGTGGGGGTTTCTGTCGGGGGTGCGTCGGCTCCGAGTTTCGTCTCGGTTGCTGGCCACCCCTCCGCTGTAGTAACTACTACCGGCCCGAGCCTTGGCTCGGGGTCTGGTCCAGTAGTTAGTAGTTTGGCAGTCCCTGTAGTTGCCGCTACTTCGCAATTGGTCCCACCGCTTGCGCCGGCTTGGCCGGGCCATTCGGTGTCTGGATCATTTTGTCTCCCATTGAGGAATCCCAGCACGGGCTCTTCCTCATCACGGCACCGCGACTCAGTCTCGAGTCTTGGGTCGGGTGTGCCGGGCAACCCGGCTCTGCTCGAGCCTTTGTCCCTCTCTGTAGACCCCTCGGATGATCCCTCAGAGCTCTCTCTGGAAACAGAGACCTCACTCATTGAGGATCGATTCGAGGAGGCTATGGAGGAGGATGAGGGTCGGGAGGAGTTGGGTACGCCTTTGGTTTCGCTCGGTGCGTCCCTGAGGCAGGTACGGGAGCGTATTGCTTCTGTCCTGCCCCAGGTAGTGGTCAGTACTGGCGCACCCGACCCTCAGGAGTTTCGCCTCCCAGGGGAGGCTTTTGCTCCCACCAAGGTGGGGGACACAAGGCTGCGTATATTACCCTCAGTCTTGTCTGAAGTAATCAACCCCCTCCTCTGTGGTACCAGGTCCAGGTTCGATTTGCCAGAACTTGACCGTCGGTACCTCATGGGGGAGGCTTGCCTCTACAATCCCCCAGTGGTTGACGATTGTGTTTACGCATCCGTCGCCCTGGGGGGTTCGTCGGGTAATTCTATGGCTTCAGCCAAGCAAGGTCGCCGGCTTCCGCCGTTCACGACTAACGCTACAGCGCTTAAATCCGCCTATCGATCCTTTGAAGAGCAATACCGCAATGCGGTTCAATGCCTCAAAGTGACGATCCATTCCGCCTACATCTCGGTGTTGCAGAGGCAACTACTGGATGTGGGTGGGGTGGAGGAAGATTCGTCTCCCTCCACCTTGGCTAAGCAATTAACGGAGGTACAGTCACATCTGGGCGATTCTATCAGGTCGTCGGCTTGCCAAATGATGTCGGCGGTGATGGGCCTCCGTCGCCTGTGGCTTTCCGTGGCGAGGTATTCGCCTGCCACGCAACAGGCTCTGCTGGCGCTGCCATTCCGGATGGGTTCTACCCTGTTCCCCGGGGCAGCTACAGTAGTCCGGGAGGCCGCGGAGGCTGTCTCAACCTTCAAGGACTCTAAGCCCTTGCTGGAACAGCCTCACACGTCTCGCTCGCGGCCCCCGGTTGTCTCCTCCGCATATCCTTCTGCCGCGGCGAAGGAATCTGTTAAATGGGCTCAGCCCTTGCAGTCGCGGAGGGGTAAGGGCAGAGGCAGGGGCAAGGGCAAGGCCACGGCGCCCCACCAGCCTTTTCAGAGGAAGGGGAAGTCAGCCCCGGCTTCCCAGCTATAATTCCTCCGGAGCCCTTGTTGGTACCAGACCAAGCAGTCGGAGTACTGCCAAAGTCAGGTATTCAATGTCTCCTGCCACATATCCCTGTGGGTGGTCGACTTTCCCTCTTCCTGTCGGAATGGGAAAAAGTCACGTCCAATCCCTGGGTCCTGTCCACACTCAGGGAAGGCCACATGCCACAGTGGAAGCGAGACCCACCCCCCTTCTCCGGGATCCGTTGCACTCCAGTGCCGGCTGCCCTAGAGAAGGCGGAAGTGCTCCGTGCCGAGGTCCAGTCGTTGCTGGACAAGGCAGCCATAGAGGTGGTTCCTGTGGGACAAGAAATGTTGGGTTTTACTCAACTTATTTCCTTGTCACCAAAAGGACGGAGGGTTCAGACCTATTCTAAACCTCAAAGGTCTGAACGACATGTTAGAGGTACCGCCCTTCAAGATGGAAACACTGCGTTCGGTGATTTCGCCTCTGTGGAGAAGGGAGATTGGCTCACGCCAATCGACCTCAAAGACGCCATACTTCCATGTCCCTATGCACCCCGAAGTTCGAAATACCTAAGGTTTTCCTTCGACGGAGGTGCTATCAGTTTCGGTACTCCTTCGGCATTTCCACAGCCAAGGGTGTTCACCAAACTCATGCTAATTCCAGCTCAGGTAGCCAGGTCACAGGGCAGGTGCTGTCACCCGTACCTAGACGATTGGCTCCGCCGCTGGCGCTTGCCACTCCCTTGAGTCGAAAGGCGACACTTGCTGTGATGAGTATTCTCACCAAGTTGGGCTGGATTATCAACCTCAAGAAATCAGAACTGGTTCCCACCCAGGATCTGGTGTTCTTGGGGCGAGATTCGAGACAGCAGCGAGGATAGTCTCCCTGTCTCGGACCGCCACCAAAGTCCAGAGAGTTGTGTTACAATTCTCGAAGTCCCCAGGGCCTCAGCTCGGACTTGGCTCCAGTTGTTAGGCAACATGGCGGCAACGGTGGACATCGCTTGGCGGAAGCTGGTTGAGGATGCGACCCATTCAGCAGGCTCTAGCTCGAATGTGGGTCCACACCCAGGGTTACGAAGTTGATTCTCCACACTCCAGGGTGGCTAATTCCTCATTTACGGTGGTGGACACTGGCAGGGAATTTATCCAAGGGGCTCCCTTTGGACATCCCATCGCCAGATCTCTCAATTCAGGCGGACGCTTCCCTCACAGGGTGGGCGTGCTGGGCGCCCTGTCGGTCTCAGGCCTGTGGTCACAGAGCGAGGCAACTGCACATCAATGTGCTAGAATTGAGAGCAGTCAGGTTGGTGTTCAAACGACGGGAGCAGGTTCAAGGCCGTGGTGGTCCGCCTCGAGATGGACAACCAGGCGGCAATGACCTACATCCTGAAGCAGGGCGGCACGGTTTCCGTCTCTTCTGCAGGAGGCATGGCAGTTTCTGCTCTGGTGCGACCAGTTCGACATACCGGGTAATGCCTGTTTATCTCCCAGGGCGGACAACGTTCGAGCAGATGCACTCTCGTCATTATCCTGGCCCCACACGCAGTGGATGCTCCATCGGGGATATTCGGGCTATCTCCCAGTTGTTCGGTCGTTCCAGGTGGATCTGTTTGCATCTGGGGACGAACCAGATTCGGTGTTTTGCTCACCGGATACCGGATCCGAGAGCCATCGCCAAGACGCTTCCAGCTCGATTGGACGGACAGGGTTCTGTATGCCCCCGCCACTACCCCTGATTCCCAAAGTCCTCTTGCAGCTTGCCACCCAACCAGCTCGACTTCTTGTGCTCCTTGCACCCCTTTGGTCGGCTCAAAGCTGGTTTCGGTACTTCTCAGGTTTCTGGCTCAGCCTCCTGTACTATTACCCTTCGACCGGACTTACTATCCCAGAACGGAGCGCCGCACCGAATCCCAGGATTCAGTGGGTGGCCTGGCCTCTGTCCGAATCGCCTCCACGCGAAGCGGAATTCCTGCACCAGTTGCAGACACAATTCTGGCTTCGGGAGGATTCGGACAAACGTTCAGTATGAGGATAGATGGGCCTGTTATGCGCTGGTGTGTCGGCAGAGGGATTCTTGATCCCTTTTCTTCAACTGTAATTGAAGTACTGGAGTTCTTGCAGTCTCGGTTAGAAGCCGGTTTAGCGGCGTCTACTATCGGGCTACTCCACGGCAATCTCTGCCTTCCATATCCCTGCCGACGGTGTTCTCTTGGGGCAGCACCCCTCGTACAGCTTTTAGCAGGCGTGGACAGAATCCGTCCGACTGTCCGGGCGGATTAGTCCCGATGGGACTTGTCAATCGTTCTTGATTGGATGTCCGGTCCTCTCTTTCACGATCTGTCGTCTCTTTCACTCCAGCTGTTAAGTTGGAAGGCTGCCTTTCTTGTGGCGGTAACGCCTGGCAGGCGGGTAGGTGATATCCATGCGATGTCAGCGATCCTGCTCTGACTGTCTTTCACAAAGACAGAGTCAGTATTCGGTTGCCAGACTCCTACCGTCCTAAGGTCGCAGGCGCCTTTCATATAACGGCGCCTATCGAACTGCCAGCTTTCATTCAGCCTCCATCGTCCGGTACCTCTCTTCGGCGTGCTCACGTCTTAGATGTCCGTAAGACTCTCAAGGCTTATATCAAACGAACGGCTGCTATCAGGAAAGATAAGCAGCTGTTCTGTTGTTATGGCGGTGGCAAGGCTGGTCTTCCTCGCCCAACAAGCAGACCATATCTAGGTTGCTTGTCTCTGCCATTTGTTCGAGTTACTCTTACAAAGGATTAACCATCCCTCAGGGTTTAAAGGCTCATTCGGTTAGGGCAGTGGCGACATCAAAAGCATACGCCGCGACACTGCCCATTGAGGAGATCTGCTCAGCGGCTATCTGGAGCCGACCGAGTACGTTCATCCGCCACTATCAGCTGGACAAACACTCACGGGAGCGTGCTCGGTTTGGCCAGACAGTTCTCACCAGTGGGCAGTGTCGTGATTCTCTAGCCGAATGAGCCTTAGAAATCACGTTTGCTTTTCTCATGGTGTAGGTGTTAATAAATTCCTCAATTTTTATCGGTGGTGGTATCACATTGGTGGTGGTTTTTACCGTATGTAGCGATTATCACTCGCTACAGTCACTGTGTTCATCCCTGCACCACGCTTCGCTGGTTTGGGTTGCTGAGGGATATATATTGGACTCGCCCATACTTTCCTCCCATTTTGATGGTTGGGGGGTGGGACTTGCGTCCGCCTTTATAAATTCCACCAATAGCCTATCGGCTAGGCTCCTTTTTCCCGCCTTGCCACGGCCCCGCCTGATTGACATCAGCGGTCAGGTGACTAGGTGAGTGTACTTTCTCTCTCTGTCGCGGCTTCGGCTGTGCCTTCGACTGAACTAGGGGGTATGTTAGGCAGACAGAATACTACTACTCCCGACTCAACATCGTTGGGAGTCTGTCTTATATGTACCCCAAGGAGGACTTCTTCTGAAAAAGAATTTTACAAACCTGGAGAGGTTATGAATTCTTTGAAGAAAAGTCCTCCTTGGGGTACGGCCGCCCACCTCCCCTCATTCTGTCTGACACGTTCAGCATGAAAAGTGAGGTACGAGGTACACAGCCAGAGTTACCTGCTCTTGGCTGTAGGGGGCCCTCTACGGGGCCCTGTAGGGGTGGTCTCACCACACATAACGAGTTTTTTGTTTGGTAAAATATTTTATTGAAATATTGTTACAACTGTCGTAGGCTTTTAAAATGGACATTTTAATGCTTATATGTACCCCAAGGAGGACTTTTCTTCAAAAGAATTCATAACCTCTCCAGGTTTGTAAAAATTTACAGGGATTTATCTAGGGTTTCAATATCGGTGTCTTTTGTTGAGGAAATTAAGAAAAGAATTGTGATGTTACCCAAAATTGGATTTTTTTTATGTGCTTTATTCATAAATTCAGAGAAATTTTTATTCAGATTTTGACTTTTGACTGGACACCTGGATATAAAGAGCAGGTCCAGATATGTTTCTAATTTCCATTACCCAGCTGGTTTGTACAAGTTTTGTTAATGTAACCTGCGGCTAGTAGACTTTCAAACAGTTTTCGGGCTATTGCTATGTATGTCACTATTTAGGCTAATTCATGTTCTTCGTGAATTTCTGTCCCTGTCTATGCAGCATAACTTTAATGCCTCACAGTAGGAGTTATTCCATACGTACTTGGAATCACTTTCTTGGAATCACTTTCTTGCATGTGTTTAAACTTTACGTTGACCTTTCACGTTACAGTGGAACCCACCAAACTCCTCCATTATAACGTTCCGAGACTCCCGCTTGTACAGCGCCCCCGCAGTTAAGAACGATAAACTGGAAAGCAATCTAAAACTGAGGTAATTATTGTTTTTAAATAAGCATCATTCGCTGTGCAGAGTTGCCTCCCTTGGCACACCAGACACTGGTTATGTTTTGAGACTTGTCAGCACCATAACTGTGCTCATGGGTGTCAAAGTGGTAAATTCTAAGACCTGCATCAGTTTAGGTCTTCTCTGACATCAGCTGACCCGTGAAGATCCGGGGTAGAATAGGTCTTCAGCAACCCATTCTGGTCATAAAAGGGCGACTATGCTTGTCGTAAGAGGCGACTAACGGGATCGGGTGGTCAGGCTCGCTGACTTGGTTGACACATGTCATCGGTTCCCAATTGCGCAGATCGATGCTCATGCTGTTGATCACTGGATTGTCTGGTCCAGACTCAATTATTTACAGACCACCGCCATATAGCTGGAATATTGCTGAGTGCGCGTAAAACTAAACTCACTCACTCACTCTGACATCAGCTTTTAATACAACTGGGATGGTGAGGTAGCCTAGTGGTTAAAGTGTTAGCCTGTCACACTGAAGAACCGGTTTTGATTCCCCACATGGGTACAATGTGTGAAGCCCATTTCTGGTGTCCCCCCGCAGTGATAAACAACTGAAATATGTCACACTGTTACTTCCTGTTTATGATGTAGATCCATCTGTTAGAACCCCATATACTATTTCCTATCATAAGAGTGACTATGTCGCCCATACTGATTTAAGCAGTGAAGCCAATCTCTCACTTGATGCTTGTCCGTTTTCCTCGTCACAGTGCCTCCACATCACAGCTTCCAAAGGTGCCTCGGAGGGTGCCACGCCCCCTCCCCCCACGATCTCTCTCTCAGACCAGTAGCACGTCGTCCCTGGGCTCCACCTTTACCCCCGGCTCCACCCAGCCCCAGTCACCCGCCATCCGACCAGGCCTACCTCAGTCTACAAGGTGACATAATATCCGTCTACCCCCTCTCAAAGATATCTTCAACGGAAGGGAGCCTATGTTTACATCTAGGCGCTACCAGCGACACAACATTCAACAGCCTCTTCCCCATCGTCTCGCCCGAACCACGCGGTCGGGAAAGAAGGGAAACACCAGGGAACTTCTTTCCAAGTCCGATCAGTTTTTCCTGTCATAAATTCATTGTCATCCATAAAATCATGTTAAATTCACAGATCTTTATTGTTGGGTAAAAGGTTACTGGTCTTAGGATCTTAGCATAAACTAATTAGGAATCTGCTGAGATTGTTCAGTGAAACACAACCATCAGTGAGATGGTAGAACCATGTTTCAAGATCAGATCTGCTTGTCATAATTTAAAACCTATTTGTCAAAGATCCATTTTTATGATTTTACACTTTATAGTGTATAGCAGCTATTGAAGTTTCTGATGTATACATTTTTAAAGTATTTTAAACATTTGAACAAAAAATTCCTAGACAGCTTTGCTATTTAGCAATTAAATATTTTCTGAGTTTATTTTAAAAATAGTTTTAGCATTTCAGGATCCACCCAAAGTGTATCATGATCTCAGTGAAACAGCTGTATTTTGTCAACACAAACATATCAATACCTGTCTCATTCCGAATTTTGTTCAAAGAACATATTTTAACTGTATATTTTGTAAGAGAATTCATGCATAATATACAATATACTGTTATTCCATGCTTTGCCATGTGATACGGACACAATGATGCCTTAGAATGTAATTTGCCAAAAAGTTGTACCGGTATGTCTCAGAATGTATGAATGTGAGTGTTTGTTCACTGAACCATGTTGTGGTGACACTTTACTGTTTGAATTCATGTATGACTGTATCAAGGTAGAAAATATCTATACACATATTTACAGCCATTACCAAATTTTTGTTGCATAGCACTTCTGCTACATTATTAAGATATTGATGTAAGATATTTAAAGAATTCCATATATGCTAAGATAGTTTGTGAGAAGTTCTGTCTTTATATATTGACAAGATTGTTATTCTTCATAAATTAACCAAAATACAAATATGCAAATAAATTAAAATTTTCTACCAGCAAAATATATAATTTCAGTAATGTTTAGGTTCTGTTTAGCGAGGTGCTGTTATAAGTCAGAACGGAATAGGAAAGTATTAAATGTCTGCATCTATTGTCTGCTTCTATATCCTATACCTATTCTTGATGCAATACCTGTTCTTGATTGAACAATTGATGTCTACAATCCGTTACATGACCAGATGGTTTGTTTCTCTCAGCAAGGGCAACTATCAGCTTTGTGTTCTGTCGTCTTCCGCAAGCCCCACATGTGATGTGCCATGTCTTGCCAGTGTTCTTCATGTAGCTTATACCAGCTTTAACTTGACTTGCTTAATGAATGCCAAAAGTGATTTAAAGGTTGAGTTGTGCCAAAGTGATTTGTCTGAGAGGACGACAGACGAGTAATACATGATTCTTTATCAGTTCTGATAGTTACCACATTGTGTAGACTTGCATACAACCAATGGAATTCACCTACAATGGAATCCGTGTTCAGTGCGACAGTTTCTTTCATAGTCTGATTGGATCAGCAGAATCCTTGAGGAATTTTCTTGAAAATCTTTTGTTTAAGAAAGATGTTGATTCCATAATATCAAGCTTTAATGTCATCAGTGGAACTCATTCACCAGGGAAAGAAACCTTTCAAAATTTCCCACAGGACCAGTGAGTGGACAATAATTAGTGGTCCTGTCTGTACTTCACTGGTCCAAAATAACATTCGTAGATTTACTACCAATACAAAATTGACTGGCCACCAGGACCACTGCAAACTTACCATTTTGTGGTCCTGATGATATTTTACTAGCCAGGGACCACAGGACCAGCGTAAATTTTGCACACTGATTCACTGAGCATGTTGAAAGTAGTGAAGGGACAAGTGCCCCTTTCAGACCTCACAATGTGCCTCTATATTTTCACATGTGATAATTCCAGGCTTTATTGCGGATGTTTCCAAATGATTCTTTGCTGTTGGAGAGGGTTAAAATATATCCCCGGACCAATAAAACAAAATGTTGAATGAAAACGGTTATAAGACGACACAAATATCCAAACCTAACTTTCGAAGTGAGGGTAAGGGAAATAATTGCGGTGCAGAGTTACCTGCCCCTGATAAGCAATTCACAGCCATCAAGATTACAAATCAAAGATTATTTCTCAGCTGTTCCAACTTGCTGACACGCCGAAGACCCGGGTTCGAATCCCCACATGGGTACAATGAGTGAAGCCCATTTCTGGTGTCCCCCGCCACGATATTGCTGGAATATTGCTAAAAGCGGCGTGAAATCAAACTCAGCTGTTCCAACTTGCTGATTTGTCGCTGTCTGCGTGGACTACTGTGTCAGAATTATTGCCCGAGTGACATTTCTTGTCTACAGTAGACACATGTCCAATCTGTGGTACAATGTCTCAAAAAAGTACATCATATTTATTAGATTAAATGTATGAGGATTACTTACTGATCGTAAGGATCTTTGAAGAAGTTGAGATGAAAAATCTCTCATGTTTTCTTCTTCTAAACAGCTGGTTTTGAAACAAAAACTATAAATGCAGTTAATTTGGATATTTCCAAATTTCAGTGGAACTCAAACCATTGGCATCATCTGAGAAATTGAGATGTGGATACAATTTTCAGAGATCCTTGGAACTTTTCGAACAAGGAACAAAAACTGCATCTTACAAAATAGAGTTAATGAACATGTTTATTTACAATCAGGCAGAATTATAGTAGTTGGTGTTTACATGAACAAGAACGTATGTGAAGCAATGGTTGTCAATTGTTTTATGAATTTTGCTATGTATAGTGTTTTAAGTATACCGGTTTATGTGTAAGCTGTGTGAGGATGCAGACGTGTGTACGTGTCACATGATGTGTGTCCATGTCACATGATGTGTGTACATGTGTGTACCCTTCTGTATTCGACATACATGATGTATCTATGATGGCAGTGGTATTGGGTAAATGCTTGCTATGAAGTAATGATGGCTCCTAAATTCACGACATATATGAAATAATATTTTACACTTCAAGATAAATGAAGATTTTAAAAAATATTTTTGAAGAAAAACTGATTGCTTTTAAAAAAAAATTGGCATATCAGAATCGTCTTACTTCAAAGCTAAATGAAGACATGTTTTGACCTTGTAAATGGATTATCTGCCATTGGAAGGCCACATTTTTCAGATTCTGATGTGAAAAGGCTTGCGAAATTGTTTATCTGCCTTGAAATGCCTTCAGTTATCCATTCCAATTTCAAGTAAATTACCTAAAACTCAATCCTATTATTGTGTACAATAATGTTGATATCTGCATGTACTGAAGGGAAATGTTCAGTTGCTGTAGAGTTATCTCCCTTCCAACTATGTGTAGCTTCAGTTACAAACCCGACTGGACATGTACAATATTATATTAACATGGCAGAGATTTTGTGGAAGACTCTTTTCCAATTCTGGAAAAAAATCAACCAATAATTCTTAAGCCAGGAAGAAACTGTTTTGAATACTTGACACATATATTGTAATGGCAGATCTGATGTGATTTCATGCATTGCCCAAAGATGGCGACCTGTCAATGTGCATCTAAAACAGTTGTGTTCAATATGTCAGAAGGTACACCTTATATTGTATACATGCTGTGCCAAGTTGGAATCGATTTAACTATTTAAAGCATGCACCAGTGCAACCTATTTTGGAAAATGCTACCTAGTATTTAGGTCAGCATGCACCAAGTGCTTATCGAAACCACCCGAGTTTGTGTGTAACGCTGACACGTCCACCCATTGATTTTTGAACAGATCCAATATCTCTTAGCCTGTATACCATACACTAACCATTGCTGTGTTATGTGTAATTTGTCAAACATTTTGGGCTTATTGTCCTCAGCTGGGTACTTAAGGATTATATGCATGTTTTAACTTTGATTAATTTACGAGACCAGGTGCAGCCAGGTTGTGTCTTATGAAGCTAAGCTTTCTTGTCAACATGCACTTGATGAAGTTGAATCCGGTTTCATGAATCGAGCCTTAAATCCCACCTCTAAGCACCTATATGAATCAGTTCAATTATGATGCACCATGAACAGACTGGAAGTAAAGCAGTTATACTTAAGTATATTTGGTAATGTTTTGTTAAGTCTTGTGTCAGTTTTTTTTTTAAAAATAAATATTGAATTATTAGAGATAGTGGAATAATTATGTTTTCTCAATGTAAAGGTATCCATTGAATCCCAAATTTCGAAAATCCCCATATTTTGAAGTTTCGTTCATGTGTCATCTCATTCATGCCATTGCTAGGATGATTTTAGTTCTTTCTGTTGAAGTTTTCTCAGGGGTAGGCGGAAAAGGGCCGTTCGGTGTAGTCGAACTTTGGCCGTTGTGTTTCACAGTCAGTCATTTGAAATACCTCATTCATAGATTTGTTTGTTGATTTTTTTCATTAGAAAAGGTATTTGTTTCATATAGAATGGATGAAAATAGACATGGAGCACAATTCAGGATTAACTTTGTTTAGTGTATCAGTTGCCATGACAACCAGCTAGGTGTTTTTAGGGTTGCTAGGTTGTAATACCTAAGAAATAAAACTGGCATAATACGGAGACCAAGCTGCAATTAGATACATGATTAGAAACAAACCAAACTATAGTGACATACAGATAGTCTCAAGCTTTGTTTTCTTGGAATAAAATGTTAGAGAGTTCACTTCCACGTAATATTAATCTCTTTGTTTTTACTACTACAGTTTTGTTTAAAAATAATCTGAAATGCAAACAGATTTGTTGTAGTAATTTATATTCTGCTCCTCACATTTTACATTTCTTCCAATCTCTGAGCAAGAAATTTCTTCTTTGATGCCTCAGAAACTGAAAACGATGTCTAGTATTAAACAGTAATTGAATTGTCGAGATTTAAATTATTTCGTTACTAAAAAAATTAGACATACAGATATATCCACAAGAAAAGTTCTTTGGGGAAATGAATGATGCTAGTGCATAGTGGCATTGTGTTTCGATATGCGTGTACATTTCTCCATGATATATGAAACACCTGCTGTAAGCTTTTGTATATAGATAGTGCCATAGGGGCTAGCCTTCGTGTGAGTGAGTGTTTTACGGCAGCTGGGATTTTGTCCCATACAGATACAACTTGTTTAATTTTCATATTCCCCCCAAAAAAGTTCAGGTATACACTATTTGTTTTTAAGTATATTTTTAGAAATATTTTTTTGTCAAAAGTCAACTTGAATTTAATGTTAATGAACTTATTGTTAAGTTTCATCTCATGAAACAATTGTTGGTTGAAGAAGTAAACAATTCCTTTCTCAACATTCCAAGTGAAATATATTTTTACAGTTATTGTTTGAATGTGAGGATTATTTCACTGGGGGCAAATGATTTATTGTTCTGTAATTTATATCAACAAAATAATATTTTTTTATTGAATTTTATTGCAGCTTTTGTGATGTGTTTTGTTTGGCTTGTTTCAAAAGTTTTGTCATACAGCAAACATGTACAGTCGTGCTGCTGTAATGTATTCATGTACTAGGTGCTTAGAGAAAGGTTGTACTGCTTTATTGTCCAGGAGTTGAAATGTCAGTGTACAGCTTTCAAAAATACATCCCTACACATCTTGTCCTGAAGCTTTACACAATTGGACATGCTTTTGTCAGGTTGTAGAAATATTGCAGAAATACATTCAGTGGTATTGGTGATTGTGACAAGATTTTAATTTTATTTTCGAGATATGTTTAAAAATTAGATATTTGAAGTTTTACAGGTTATGGAATTTCTGTATGAAATTTGAGTAACTCACTTTTATGCCGAGATATCCGATCATATAACTGTCCGGACCTGGTTGTGTCAAACTTAGTGATCCTTTAACATATTATTAGACCTCTATTGATTAATAGCCCTTGATGCAGTTGTATCAAAGATTTTATGATGTGTTCTTAGCCTGTCAGAAGTTATAACCTGTGAAGGTTCAGAACTCTTAGGACATAACACAATGGTTAATCGGAATTAACAAAACTGATGATATACACATAATAAAAACTAACAAAGCCCCTGTTTTTCATACTATGGTTGACACGTGTCATCGCATCCCAATTGCGTAGATCGATGCTCATGCTGTTGATCACTGGGTTGTCTGGTCCAGACTCGATTATTTACAGACCGCCGCCATATAGCTGGAATAATCCTGAGTGTGGCATTAAAAACAAACCAACTTTCGTATTAATATAGTTTATCTCTCATGGGCTGAAAAATGTCCATGACCACCTGAATTGTACGTATTGCATATTTAGTCAATGTCTTACAGCGTGACAGGTTAACTTTAGTTTTGTAAAAGAAGTTGGTGGTCCAGTAAATTTGAGTTTTATAGAAGATTCTTTTAAGTTGTATAGAAGAATTTACTGTATCAGGGCAGTATCAGGGCTTAATGTAGGTCTGTATCAGGGCTTAATGTAGGTCTGTATCGGGGCTTAATGTAGGTCTGTATCGGGGCTTAATGTAGGTCTGTATCGGGGCTTAATGTAGGTCTGTATCGGGGCTTAATGTAGGTCTGTATCGGGGCTTAATGTAGGTCTGTATCGAGGCTTAATGTAGGTCTGTATCGGGGCTTAATGTAGGTCTGTATCGGGGCTTAATGTAGGTCTGTATCAGGGCTTAATGAAGGTCTGTATCAGGGCTTAATGAAGGTCTGTATCAGGGCTTAATGTAGGTCTCGCTGAAGGTTTGATACAACCAAGTACAGACGGTTAACTTGTTAACGTAGTTGAATGTGCTGGCTTGTTTTTAACAGGCATGTGTTTTTGAATTAGATTCCCTTATATTTTACAAGATAGTCATATTTTTGTATATATGTAGAAATATATTTATTGTTATGACACTTGTTACGTACAGACAAAAGATAAACCATTGATGTCTGGTTTGTGGGTCTGAACGCTTTGACTTTGTCAATAAGGGTATATTATTCTGTTTGAAACTGTTGCCATGGACACTTGGTTGCTAAGGACAACTGTCAGATGCCAAAGTAGCCAATGAAAATATTGCCATATTATATTTTATGCAGTTATGTGCATATAGATGTATTTGTAAAAGGTGTGTGTCTCAGCTGATGCTGATTGTTTCATATCTAATTTGTTGCCATGGTTACCAAAGGAGTCCAATGACATCATAATCACCTGTATATGAACATTAATATGAAGTATGTCTGTCTTGTACACCCTACTACTGTTTTCTTTAATCTTTTTCATTAAAAAAATAATGCCATATAGCTGGAATATTGCAGAGTGGCATGTTAAACAAACCAACAAACTAGCAAACAGATGGGGCTTCTGGCTTCACTCAATCTAGCTTATTGTTAGGATACCTCCTCAGTGCATTGTGATACATTACAATGCATTATCTGTATGGTTAGAATAGGTCCACAACAGCCATGCTTGTCTCCTCATGGGGATTCTGGGTAAGTATGGGAGTTACGATCACCTTAGCTCTATGGTAGTCGTAAGTCTGTGTTTAAGTATGGGAGTTACGATCACCTTAGCTCTATGGTAGTCGTAAGTCTGTGTTTAAGTATGGGAGTTACGATCACCTTAGCTCTATGGTAGTCGTAAGTCTGTGTTTAGGTATGGGAGTTGCGATCACCTTAGCTCTATGGTAGTCATAAGTCTGTGTTTAAGTATGGGAGTTACGATCACCTTAGCTCTATGGTAGTCGTAAGTCTGTGTTTAAGTATGGGAGTTACGATCACCTTAGCTCTATGGTAGTCGTAAGTCTGTGTTTAAGTATGGGAGTTACGATCACCTCAGTGCTGCGATTCGTTTGCAGGAAACGGCCTGTCTGATCATGATCTTTATATATGGGTATGTATATAACGCTATAGTCCATCCCATGTACACGCATGCTCAAAGCGCTTTGCTTCATATGTATCCCTCTGTGTACAGGTGATTATGATGTGTGGTGGTCTCCAATTCAGCTTCAAACAGACAGGATGGTACTATGCTTGTGTTGAGTGAATGTAGACACAATGTTGTCAGCATCACAAACACACAAGATGTGAGGGCTACCTGATACCTGAAGGTAGCACTACATGACAGATGATGAAAATGTGCTGAATTGTATTTACAACATGAGTTTGAGAGTGTGAACATTGCAAAACCTGTTCAAATATCTGCGCCAAAGTATTAGTGTTTTTAAAATCGGTTTTCACGTGTGAATGGTTGTCAAACATATTGGTCACTTACAACCAATCAGATACTATGTAAATGTCACCTGATTTATACATATTTTACAAAATGGCGTTATTTGAGAGAAGTGAAGAAATCGGTTATAACATAATATCTGCAGTGTAAAACACTGGCAATCATTTTGAAGTTTGCCATCCTGAGTTTTATGATTGGAGTGGGTACAATGTGTGAAGCGTAATTCAGGTATCTCCCGCCATGATATTGCTAGAATATTGCTAAAAGTGGCGTAAAACCATACTCACTCACTCATGTGTGGAGACATCTAAAAGCAGCAATACATGACTTGTAATGTTGCCCTTGATGAAAATAATGAATTATAGATGTCAAGACTGGAAGTTGGTAGTCAGCTTCACTATTGCTCAACCTTGACAGTGCTGTGTGAAAAGTACCCATCGTTTCAAGAGGTCATCCTGAACAGTGGTACTGAAGCTGGGACAAGGAAGATGTTCTGTATGGCGGCTATAGCTAATACAAGGATGACCTTTGAAGGGAAAGATACCTCTCCCAGTGTGTCAGCTGTAATGATAGCTACAATCCTCCAGTAGGCCAGCCTTCAAGTCTTCATGTCAGCTATTTAGCAGACATGGTTGACTCCCATTCAATTGAAGACAAAGAATAGGCAGTTTTTTGACAGCTGATCTATCCTGTTTAATTGCAGGGGTGGAAATAACCCATTGCCCGACGTCCGAGTCCAGTGTTTTTTTCTGTCGGGCAAGCAAATTTGTATATCACACTGTACCGGTGTCCAGTTGACTTTCCAATGTTAATTATGTTGTTTGTTTAAAAACATCAACAAGAAAACGGCCCGGAATAGTGGAAAAATTATCAGGGCAAGTGATTTTACATGTGCCACTGTTCCGGAGTACACTAGCAATTTTAAAGTTCTTTCCACCCCTGAATTGATCTATTTTTTTCTGCTCCTTTTTATCCTGATTGTTTGATTCATTTGGCCAACATTCAATATGACCCTTCATATTGTTACTCTAAAAAGCTATTGTGTCAGCATAATGATATTTGGCTGAGGAAACAATAATGTTTATATGTTCAAGAAACTTTTCTTGGAGGATGTCTGCAGTGTATACTGCTGCTTCCCTTGGACAAGGCTCTTCTGGAATCTGACTATTCATCCCAGTGATGAATGGCGGAAGAGCAGGACGTGTCCTCTTGATTTCAGATCTTTGATTTTTAGAATATTATATTTTTTCAATGAACATTATATTTTATCTGAAAACTATTTTCACAATGATTAGGCATCCATGACTGAAATACAACTAATATCCCGTCTCATGCAGTGGTTGTGTCTTCCATTAATGTATGAATCCTGAGAGGAGTCACAAGTTCACGAGAGCTTAGCCAAATCCTGCAAGCATCCAGATCACGAGAGCTGGCTAAAACAGGTATTAGATGGTTACATGGTATGCTTTGTGTCAATGGTGAATCCTGTTCTAATGCAGCAGTATTGCAGCCACATGGAAAGACTGTGGGACACAGCCTCTTTACCTTCTGGGTAAATTCCATGGTGAGGTGGGCAGTGGGATAGCCTAGTGGTTAAAACGTTGGCTCGTCACGCTGAAGACCCGGGTTCGAATCCCCACATGGGTACAATGTGTGAAGCCCATTTCTGGTGTCCCCCACCGTGTTGTTGCTGGAATATTGCTAAAAGCGGCGTAAAACCAAACTCAGTCAGTCAGTCAGTCCATGGTGAGGTGTGGTCAAACTTGAACAACAATCAACGCAAATCTGGGATTCAAGCACACTAACAAGGCGAGCAAGCGAGTGTGGTTTTACACCGCTTTCAGCAATATTCCAGTAATATCGCAGTGGGGACACCAGAAATGGGCTTCACACATTGTACCCATGTGGAGAATCGAACCGGGTCTTCGGCGTGAAGAGTAGACGCTTTGACCACTAGGCTACCC